ATTCTTTGCTTATTTGATATGTTTTGTACTTTGTGGGTTTTCTTTTATATAAATAAAAATCTGGGCTGGGTGTGGTGGCTCACACCTGTAATCCTAGCACCCTGGGAGGCTGAGGCGGGAGGATCCTTTGAGCTCAGGAGTTTAAGACCAGCCTGAGCAAGAGCAAGACCTGTCTCTACTAAAAAAAAATAGAAATTAGCCGGACAACTAAAAATATATAAAAAATGTGGCCGGGCATGGTTGCGAATGCCTGTAGTCCCAGCTACTTTGGAGGTTGAGGCAGGAAGATTGCTTGAGCCCAGGAGTTTGAGGTTGCTGTGAGCTAGGCTGATGCCATGGCACTCACTCTAGCCAGGACAACAGAGTGAGACTCTGTCTCAAAAAAAAAAAAAAAAATCTGGCTGGGCACAGTGGTATGTGCCTGTAGTTCAGCTACTCGGGAGGCTGAACTGGGAGGATCGCTTGAGCCCAAGAGTGAGACCCTGTCTCATAAATAAATAAATACAATAAAAAATAAAAATGTATATAACATTCTTCTACTGAGAAAGTTACTCCTTAGATTTGAAGTTAAGTAGTCTTTTTTATTTAATTTTTTAAAAATTCTTTTTTTTTTTTTCTTGAGACAGAGTCTCGCTTTATTGCCTAGGCTAGAGTGAGTGCCGTGGCGTCAGCCTATGTTTTTAGTTGTCCAGCTAGTTTCTTTCTATTTTTAGTAGAGACGGGTCTCACTTTTGCTCAGGCTGGTCTCAAACTTCTGAGCTCAAATGATCTGCTCTCCTTGGCCTCCCAGAGTGGCTAGAATTACAGGTGTGAGCCACCATACCTGGCCAGTATTAATATTTTTTGTTGCTGAGACTTCTAGTAGACAGTGATCATTTTTTTTCCCCTGGGTAATTTAATCTTTTCCAGTGTTAATGATTGCCACTTTTATTTATTCCTTTAGCTTTCTGTTGCTACTAAGTCTTTTCAGATACATCTGTAAAGCCCTTTAGTATTATTTTGTATATGGTAAAACATATTAAAATAACTTATCAGGCCAGATGCGCGGTGGCTCACGCCTGTAATCCTAGCTCGCTGGGAGGCCAAGGTGGGTGGATTGCTCAAGGTCAGGAGTTCAAAACCAGCCTGAGCAAGAGCAAGACCCCGTCTCTACCATAAATAGAAAGAAATTAATTGGCCAACTAATATATATAGAAAAAATTAGCCGGGCATGGTGGCGCATGCCTATGGTCCCAGCTACTCGGGAGGCTAAGGCAGGAGGATTGCTTGAGCCCAGGAGATTGAGGTTGCTGTGAGCTAGGCTGACGCCACAGCACTCACTCTAGCCCGGGCAACAAAGCAAGACTCTGTCTCAAAAACAAAACAAAACAAAACAAAAACTTATCAGTTAAGTTTTTTTCCCAGGTGACATTTCTCCTGCAGACCTCTTTCTTCTTGCTGTACTCTCTCCTGGCTGCTCTTTAGGCCTATTTCACAGTTTTCATTCTGGGACTCCTGTTCTGGATCCCTTAATTCCTGGATCTCCTGCCTTCCTCTTTCTTGGCCTACTACCTCATTGTGCTGGAGTAGCTTCTTAAGATATAATACATGGTAATTAAACTTTGAAGCCTCCATGATTTATTATTTTTTTTTTTATTTTTATTTTTTGAGACAGAGTCTCGCTTTGTTGCACAGGCTAGACTGAGTGCCATAGCATCAGCCTAGCTCACAGCAACCTCAAATTCCTGGGCTCAAGCAATCCTTCTGCCTCAGCCTCCCGAGTAGCTGGGACTACAGGCATGGGCCACCACGCCCGGCTAATTTTTTCTATATATATTAGTTGGCCAATTAATTTCTTTGTATTTATAGTTGAGACAGGGTCTCGCTCTTGCTCAGGCTGGTTTCGAACTCCTGACCTCGAGCAATCCACCCGTCTCGGCCTCCCAGAGTACTAGGATTACAGATGTGAGCCACTGCGCCTGGTCACCTCCATGTTTTAAAATATCTTACTTTTATGCTTGATTGATAGTTTGGGTTTTTTTTTTTTTGAGACAGAGTCTCACTCTGTTGCCCAGGCTAGAGTGAGTGTCATGGCGTCAGCCTAGCTCACAGCAACCTCAAACTTCTGGGCTCAAGCAATCCTGCTGCCTCAGCCTCCCGAGTAGCTGGGACTACAGGCATGCGCTACCATGCCTGGCTAATTTTTCTATATATATTAGTTGGCCAATTAATTTATTTCTGTTTTTAGTAGAGATGGGGTCTTGCTCTTGCTCAGGCTGGTTTCGAGCTATCCTCCTGACCTTGAGCAATCCGACCTCCTCGGCCTCCCAGAGAGCTAGGATTACAGATGTGAGCCACTGTGGCCAGCCTTGATTGATAGTTTGAGTACAGGGTTTCAGGTTGGAAAAAATTTTTCTTTCAGAATGTTAAAGACATTGCTTGGTGGTCTTCAGATTTCTAGTGTTGAAGTTCAAGTTGGGAAGTCTCATGCCATTTTGATTTCTTATCTCTTTTATATGATCTCTTTTATCTGTCCTCTTTAAGGAAATTTTAGAATCTTTATCTTTGGTGTTTTGAAATTTTGTAATGGTATACTTTTGCGTACCTTTGTATGGGCCTTTTTCATTCATTGTTTTGAACATCTGGTAGGCTCTTTCAATATGGACATTTTCTTGTATTCTTTATTTGATGATGTCTTCTTCTTTTTTTTACCCTGTTTTCTTCCTACAACTTCCATTAACTAGATAATTGATCTCCTGGATCATTCTGCCAGTTCTTCTTTTTATTTATTTATTTTGAGACAGGGTCTCACGCTGTTGCCTGTGCTAGTCTGCCAGGGCATCATCAGAACTCATTGCAACCTCAAACTCCTGGGCTCAAGCGATCCTCCCGCCTCACTGTCCCAAGTAGCTGGGACTACAGGCATGCGCCATCACGCCTGGCTGATTTTTAAATTTTCTATAGAGTTGGAGTCTTGCTATGTTGCTCTGGTTGGTCTTGAACTCCTGGCCTCAAGCAATCCTGCCAAAGTGTTAGGAGTACAGGTGTGAGCCACCTCACCCTGCCTTCTTATTTTTATTCCTTTGAATTTTTCCTACCTTTTTTGTTTTATGATTTCCTCTGCTTTATCTTCTGAATTTTTTAGTAGATTTAGCATTCATGTTAAAATTTTAATTTCTAAGAGCTTTTTGTTCTCGTGATTCATGTTTGATTTTCTTAGTTCTCTGAGAATACTGATTAAGAGTGTTTTTGAAATTTTCTTCTGCTTTAAGTTAGTTTCTTTTGGTTTTTTTCTCCCTTTTTTCTTTCATTTTGGAGGCTTTCCTCAAATTTTTGATATATGGCTTTCTACTCATATTTAAGGGCAAAGTGCTAAAATGTGTATTGAAAGCTCTTTTTAAACATTTCTGTCATTTTTTCTGTATCATTGAAAGCTCATTGGATGGTCTAGGCTTATTGACTGACTTACCGGTAGACTTTGCTGTAGCATAATTGACTTTTGTTGTGATATCTGAAATGGCAGTTTTTTTGGTAAGTGTTTTCTTCTGAGCCATTAAGTTATTTTGGAGAAGAATCTTCCAAGCTCCTGCCTGGAGTATATAAGTCTAGTGCCACTGTGCTGAGTACAAGTTAGGAGAAGGGCATATTTTGTTAAGGAAGAAAGAGACAGAAAACAGGACTTTCTTTGGAGACAGGGTCTAGCTCTTATAGCTTAGGCTAGAATGTAGTGGTGTTATCATAGCTCACTGTAACCTCCAACTCCTGGGGTCAAGGGATCCTCCTGTCTCAGCCTCTCTAGAAGCTGGGATTACAGGCGTATGCCACCATGCCCTGCTAATTTTTTTTATTTATTTATTTATTTTTTAGTTAATCATAGTACACCTGGATTTTTTTTTTTTTTTAATTTTTAATAGAGATGAGGTCTTGTTCTTGCTCTTGCTCAGGCTGGTCTCAAGCTCAGAGCTCCTGAACTGAAGTGATCCTCCCAGTAGTGCTAGGATTACAGGTGTGAGCCCTCAGGCCTGGCCTGGTTACACTTTTTAAATTGCTTATTACATACTGGAAAGTTCCAACTGATTGTAAAGTAAGTTTGTGGCTCAGAAAATCTCTACTTCTTTGCTTACCAAAAAGTAATCTAAAATCTAAATGCAAGAGACTTGGGATCAGTGTGCCTAGGCTTTACACTGTATTGCTTTGCCACTGTGTAGCTATGTGACCTTGGGCAACTACCTAACCTTTCTGAGTTTTGTTTTCCTCATTTCTGAAAGTGGGGTGGGCCAGTTTCTTCCATTAAAAGTTAACTTCCACTAAAAGAAGTTAACTTCGATTAAAAGGAAAATATGTACTCTTAGAAGAGGAAGACCATTGGTGAACTGAGAATCCTGCCACAGTACATGTTGATGCACGAACTAGAAAATTACAGAATAAGCAAACAGAGCATAGAGAAGGGTGTATAGCACTGTAAAGCCAATAGGCCAGGATTCTGGTATTCTGGTTCATTATCATATTTGATCAACTCTGAGATGTTATTGTAAGCTTTTAAATACTTATTTTTAAGGTTTTTGGGTTTTTTCTTTCCTGACTGTAAAATGGTTTCCTCAGGATTTGGGGGATTGGAAAATGTTTAAGATAGATATTCTAACTTGAAAGGCAACATGTGTATGGTTATCAACCATCCCAAATTAGACCAAGAGGCTTTAACATAGATACTGGAATAGGAAGTAAATACTCTATTTTTTCCCCTAGTCATTATTCAAACCTGCTTAGTAAATGAATCTAAGCTTTTGCTTAGGATAAAAAGTAATTAAAATTTAAGTGCTTTATTTTTAAGATGTGCCCTGATGTATTTGCATGGGGTATGCAGTTACAGCAGTATGCAAATCTAAGACATGGGAGTCTAAAAATAATATTGAAACAGTAGCTTGTAAGTTCTCTGTACATTCATTGATTTAGTTTCAAATAACATGTACAATCAGGAAGGACATAGTAGTGAGATGTAACACTATGTTATTCTCTTGCAGTGGGTAATTCCAGAATTGATTGGCCATACCATTGTCACTGTATTAATGCTCATTTCATTGCACTGGTTCATCTTCCTTCTCAATTTACCTGTTGCCACCTGGAATATATATCGGTGAGTATAGTTTAATGTTTTGTGTCAGAGCAGTTAAAAAAAAATTTTTTTTTTTTTGAGACAAGTTCACTCTGTTGCCTAGGCTAGAGTGAGTGCCATGGCGTCAGCCTAGCTCACAGCAACCTCAATCTCCTGGCTCAAGCAATCCTTCTGCCTCAGCCTCCCAAGTAGCTGGGACTACAGGCATGTGCCACCATGCCCGGCTAATTTTATATATATATATATATATTAGTTAGCCAATTAATTTCTATTTATAGTAGAGACGAGGTCTCGCTCTTGCTCAGGCTGGTTTCGAACTCCTGACCTCGAGTAATCCGCCCGCCCTGCCTCCCAGAGAGCTAGGATACAGGCGTGAGCCACCGCACCCGGCCAAAAAAAAAAAAAATTTTAACAGCCTTCTTTCTCCACTAAAATATGTGCCAGTAATAAAACAAAGAATAATAGAATGCATAAATTTGTGTTCACTTTGGTATACTGGGCAAGTGGCAATTTGCATGGCTCAGTCTTGTAGTAAAAACACAGATTTACATGTATACATTTATGAAATGCAAATGTATGTCATGATGTCTTAAGACTTGTGAATTGTTTTCTCATGGCCTTGGATATAATTTTCTTAAAGACGGTGAAAGCTTGAGAATATAATGTTTATATCGTTAGTTTTTAATTAGACTGTACTTAGAATATTCCAAAGAAATTACATTTAAAGTGTGAAAATTAGATAACATCAAAATTTTTGACCTAATAAACTTAGGAAATTTTTTCAAAAAATATTTAATAGAGCCGGGCGCGGTGGCTCACGCCTGTGATCCTAGCACTCTGGGAGCTGAGGCGGGCGGATTGCTCGAGGTCAGGAGTTCGAAACCAGCCTGACAAAGAGCGAGACCTCGTCTTTACTATAAATAGAAGAAAATTAATTGCCAACTAATATATAGAAAAAAAAAATTAACCGGCATGATGGCGCATGCCTGTAGTCCAGCTAATTGGGAGGCTGAGGCAGAGGATTGCTTGAGCCCAGGAGTTTGAGGTTGCTGAGCTAGGCTGACGCCACGGCACTCACTCTAGCCTGGACAACAAAGCGAGACTCTGTCTCAAAAAAAAAAAAAAAAGCTCAATAGAAATACTAATTGAATATAATTTTATAGTTGGGCTATTATACATAACATAACGTATTTTGTTATGAAGAACTCTGGAATAATCTTGACAAGCCCGGAATTAATTTTATGTTAGTGGATTGCTGCTGTACTACATTTTTAGTTTTTATATCTAGGTTTTTTTGGATAAAACCATACATTGACTGATTTTTTTTTTTTTTTTTTTTTTTTTTTTTACCAGACTCTACATTGAGGACACAGTATTTGTTGTTGTTTTGAGACAGGGTCTCCCTCTTTCACTCAAGCTGGAGTGCAGTGGCACAATCATAGCTCACTATAACCTGCCAACTCCTGAGCTTAAGTGATCCTCCTGCCTCAGCCTCCTGAGTATACTGGACTATAAGCACAACCCCACCCATGCCTGGCTGATTTTTTAATTTTATAGAGACTGGGTCTTGCTGGTATTGTCCAGGCTGGTCTTGAACTCCTGGCCTCAAATGATCCCTCTGTCTCAGCCTCCAAATGCTGGGATTACAGATTTAAGCTATCATGCCTGGTTCATTGACTGATTTTTTTTTTTGTTGTTGTTTTGTTTTTTTTGAGACAGAGTCCCACTCTGTTGCCTAGCTAGAGTGAGTGCCATGGCATCAGCCTAGCTCACAGCAACCTCAAACTCCTGGGCTCAAGCAATCCTGCTGCTCCAGCCTCCCAAGTAGCTGGACTACAGGCATGTGCCAACATGCCCGACTAATTTTTTCTATATATATTAGTTGGCCAATTAATTTCTTTCATTTATAGTAGAGACAGGGTCTTGCTCTTGCTCAGGCTGGTTCGAACTCCTGACCTCGAGCATCCGCCTGCCTCGGCCTCCCAGAGAGCTAGGATTACAGGCGTGAAGCCACCGCCTGGCTCATTGACTGATTTTTAAGCATGATGTTTTTTTTTTTTTTTTTGAGACAGAGTCTCGCTTTGTTGCCCAGCTAAAGGGAGTGCCGTGCGTCCTAGCTCACAGCAACCTCAAACTCCTGGCTCGAGTGATCCTTCTGCCCTCAGCCTCCCGGTAGCTGGGACTACAGGCATGTGCCACCATGCCCGGCTAATTTTTTTTATATATATATCAGTTGGCCAATTAATTCTTTCTATTGATAGTAGAGACGGGTCTCGCTCTTGCTCAGGCTGGTTTTGAACTCCTGACCTTGAGCAATCGCCCGCCTCGGCCTCCCAAGAGCTAGGATTACAGGGTGAGCCACAGCGCCCGCCAAAGCATGATGTTTTAAAGTGTAGATAGAAGGGCTGGGTGAGGTGGCTCATGCCTGTAATCCTAGCACTCTGGAAGACCGAGGTTGGTGGATTGCTAGAGGTCAGGAGTTCGAAACCAGCCTGAGCAAGAGCGAGACCCGTCTCTACTATAAATAGAAAGAAATTAATTGGCCAACTAATATATATAGAAAAAGTTAGCTGAGTGTGGTGGCGCATACCTGTAGTCCCAGCTACCTCGGAGGCTGAGGCAGGAGGATCGCTTGAGCCTAGGAGTTGAGGTGCTGTGAGCTAGGTAACGCCATGGCACTCTAGCCTGGGCAACAAAGGGAGACTCTGTCTCAAAAATAAAAATAAAAACAAAAATAAAAGTGTAGTTAGAATAAAAAGAACATAGAAGAGAATAAAGGTGGGGTTGAAGAAGGATAGGAAGTACATGAAAAGGTAATGGAAGGCAGTACAGGTGAGAGGAGTGGATTTGGGGGATGATCTTATAAAGATCATACTAGAACCTGAGCTAGGGAAAAGTTTTAAAATCTCTGTACCTCTTTTTCAGAGGCTAGGTGCTCTGAGGTAGAAAATTTTTTCTTTTAATTTCCTTTCTTTTTTTTTCTTTAAACATTTTTTTAGAGATGGGGTCTTGCTCTGTTGCCCAGGCTGGAGTACAGTGGCATAATCATAGTGCATGACAGCCTCGAATTCCTGAATGCAAGTGATCCTCGTGCCTCAGCCTCCTGAATAGAGGACTATAGGCAAATGCCACTGTGCCAGCTTCTTTTCTTTTTGAGACAGAGTCTCACTCTGTTGCCTGGGCTAGAGTGCCATGGCGTCAGCCTACCTACAGCAACCTCAAACTCCTGGGCTCAAGCGATCCTACTGCCTCAGCCTCCCAAGTAGCTGGGACTGCAGACATGTGCCACCATGCTCAGCTAATTTACATATATTATATATATTTTTTTTTTAGTTATCCAGCTAATTTCTTTCTATTTTTTTTAGTAGACATGGGGTCTCACTCTTGCTCAGGCTGGTCTCTAACTCCTGACCTCAAAGGATCTGCCCACCTCAGGCCTCCCGGAATGCTAGAATTACAGGCCTGAGCCACCATACCCGGCCCCCAGCTTCTTTTATAAGTTTGTTATTGTTCTTCCATGATCTGTTCCATAAACCAACAACCTAACCTAAGCTCCTTGCAGGGAACACAGTGTCTTTGCACTTCTGATGAGAGCCAATCCCATGCAGACTTTTAGCACAGCTAAGTCTCCCTGTGGTCCCACTAAATGAAATACAAATTTGGGAGTGAGAATGGGTACTGGAGCCTCTGAGACTGGATCTTAATGATATCCCAGACCACATCATTGATCATCTTTACTAGAAATTAAAATTTACTAGAAGAAGAGCTATAAAAGCTTTGGCATGACTTCTTTGTGTGTGTGGTACAGGCTGGTAGAAGGCTCTATGAAGTCAATCAAGTCCAAAGTTTCCTTTTTTCTATAAATATAAAAATGAAGATGATGTATATTTATTGCCCTGATAACTGCATTGGCAGGTAGGCCGTCTGCTGTTCACAAGTTTATCTCTATTTAAAAAGGTTTAGAAAATCAACAGAGTGATCATTTGTTCTTTTCAGTCCACTGTACTTTATGTTGCTGAGGCTACAGACTTATATTAAAGACTCTATTCACAGGACAGAGAGGCAAAACATTGAATAACAAAATATACTAGTTAAATAAGGGTTGTCTTAACTCATTGAAGATAGTTGCCAGATAAGAAATGAGAGAATTCCCCAGAGTTGGAAGGATAAGGGGTAGGGGTACATGGGAAGGCTTGTACAAACACACAAGGCATATTTAAGGACTAGTTAGGCTGAAATCATGTAGAAAAGGGAGTAGTAATAGACAAATCTGGAAAAGTTGATTAGGGTAGGTCACAGAGAACCTTGAATGCCAGTCCAAGAAGTTTATATATAAATCTGAGTATTGGGCTGGGCGCGGTGGTTCACACCTGAAATCCTAGCACTCTGGGAGGCCGAGGCGGGCGGATTGCTCAAGGTCAGGAGTTCGAAACCATCCTGAGCAAGAGCACGACCCCGTCTCTACTATAAATAGAAAGAAATTGGCCAACTAATATATATATAGAGAAAAAATTAGCCGGTCATGGTGGCGCATGCCTGTAGTCCTAGCTACTGGGGAGGCTGAGGCAGGAGGATTGCTTGAGCCCAAGAGTTTGAGGTTGCTGTGAGCTAGGCTGACGCCATGGCACTCTCTCTAGCCTGGGCAACAAAGTGAGACTCTGTCTCAAATAAATAAAATAAAATAAAGTAAAATAAAATAAAATAAAATAAAATAAAATAAAATGATAAAATAAAATGTAGTATCAACATATTTTTAGTATATTTGTAGATATATGCAACCATCACCAAGATCTATTTTCGAACATTTTCATTATTCCCCAAAACATTCCCATACTCATTAGCAGTCACTTCAACTCCCTCTTCTTCCATAGCCCTGGGCAATCACCAATCTACTTTCTATCTCTACAAATTTACCTATTCCATACAGACATATCATACAAAGGGAATCAATATATGGTCTTTTATGATTGGCTTCTTTCATGTACCATAATATTTTAAGGTTCACCCATATTGTAGCATGC